GCCGGTGCGCTCACTGGCTGAGTGCGGTGCGGGCGACACCAAGCCAAGGGTTGCAATCCCCCTACCGGTCACAAAAAAGACAAATAAATAAATAAACAAATCCCAGCTCTACCAATTACTAGTTGAGTGGTGTTGGAGGGAAAAACAAACACTAAACTGATATGCAAAACCTTCATCAATTAAATGGAGACTCTACTAACACCTACCTTACAAGTTTGGTCTGAGGAATAAAGGAGATAATTATTTGATAGTGGGAAACACTGCGCCAGCAGAAGACTTCCCGCCCCCCACCTGTCTGTCCCTGGCCTTTCACCCTCAGCACTTATCCTTTCTCCACCGATCTACTACTTATTTTTTGTGCCCCACGTGATACCCTCCAGCCCTCTGATTGCCTTGGATTATACTTCTATCCCCTTAGCTTGATTATTCTTACACTGTTCACCTGGACCACTGCTTCAGCTTCAGGAAGCACCAGCTACACAAAGCATTGATGAAGCACCTAATTGCACACGCCACTGCACTTGAATCACAGCCGAAGGGAGTCCAGGCCTGCGAGGGGCCGAGCAGCTGGGGTGGCAAGTGGGGAAGGCCTGGAGCACGACCTCTGAAGAACCGAGTTCTGCTCCCAGTCCCAGCTCTTAGTCACTTTGTTATCTTAGAAAAGACGCTCAACCTCCCTGAATCTTAGCCTACTCATTTGTGAAATATCACCAATAATCTGTACCTGTCTTGCCAAGAGATTTGTACAAGAGAATGTATGTGGAAGTTTTTGAGCCCAGCAATATGAATAGAGGACAATAAAGAGGAACTAATTATGTAAGACAGCGTTGAAGCAGACACAGACTCCCACACAGAGAGAGCTAGAAAAAGTGCGGAGCAACCCCACAACATAAGAGGCATATGGAAAAATGGCACAAGGCACAAATAAAGAGATGTTTGAATCACAGAGCCAGGTTTATTTTGGAAGGCAGTTGATGGGAGGCTGGAGAAGAGGTAAGAGATGTGTCCATCGTTCACAAATGTGACTGGGAGCAGAAACGTATATACAGGTGTGGCCATATGGAAAAATCCAAATTTCTCCTTTTTAGGAGAAATGCCCATAAGTGTGTGTTGCACATGACAACAATGCGATATCCTGGTGGTGCTAATGCCTTCCATTACAGTGTTCAAGGAGTTCAACGCTGATGATGGACATGGATTTGTGTGGCCGTAAGCAACTGGAAACTCCTCCACGTGAGGCAGGTAGAGAGAAAGCCAACGCTGCCCAGGGAGTTCATTCTGATGAAGGCCACATGCCTGGCTTCAGCTGCATAAAATCGCCA